ACCGCCACTTCAAGCTCAAGGTCGGCGGCGGCGTCGCCGAGGACCGCCGGCGGCTGGCGATTGCGCGCGACGTCATTGGCTACGACGAGGGCAACGTGCTCATGGTCGACGCCAACCAGATCTGGTCGGTGCCCGAGGCGATTGACTACATGCAGCAGCTGCGCGAGTTCCGGCCCTGGTTCATCGAGGAGCCCACGTCGCCCGACGACATCTTTGGCCACCGCGCGATCCGCGAGGCGCTCCGCCCGCACGGCATCGGCGTCGCCACGGGCGAAATGTGCCAGAACCGCGTCATGTTCAAGCAGCTGCTGATGAACGGCGCCATTGACGTCTGCCAGGTCGACGCGTGCCGGCTCGGCGGCGTCAACGAGGTGCTCGCTGTGCTCCTGATGGCCAAGAAGTTTGGCGTGCCCGTCGTGCCGCACTCGGGCGGCGTCGGTTTGCCTGAGTACACGCAGCACCTGAGCACCATTGACTACGTCGTCGTGAGCGGCGAGAAGTCGGTGCTCGAGTACGTGGACCACTTGCACGAGCACTTTCTGCATCCCTCGGTGGTTCAAAACGGATACTACCGCACGCCGACGGAGCCGGGATATAGCGTCGAGATGAAGCCGGAAAGCATGGACAGGTTTGCGTTTCCTGGTGAGCCGGGCGTGAGCTGGTGGACGAGTGAGGAAGCCAAACCAATTTTGACGGGTGACAAGATTTAGGCGTAGAGTAGTGCTATGAATAAAGCTGTGTACTAGGTAGTATGTCTTGTACAACACAGATGCTCCCCATCCGTTCATATGTCTGACACATGAGACAAGTACGAGGAGCCCACTACCACTGATAAACAAAATATTGGAGCTTCCATTAAGCCTGCATTATCAGACATCATACAAACATTTAGACAAAAGAGTCCCTTTCACCATGAGAGATACACCCCCCCGGCCCACCGAAGGCACGATGGACGTAGGCTGTCCTAAGACCACACATAGAAGTCGGTGGGAGTAGTTCAAAGTAAATGCGGGCTACGATACCGTAAATATTCCAAATTAGTTTTCAGGGTCCCTGGAAATGACTACGTCAAGAGACTAGCATGTACAAACAAGGCTGTCGCTGACGGAGTCGAGTTCGGCTATACTTGACAAAGGGATACATGCAATAGTGCATGACACATGTCGGCAGTTCCTACTTTGAGTTCCGTAGCGATATTCCAACGAGTTGCATTGATCCTTTCAATCTTACGGAAGGGCCTTGGGCGAGTTTCTGCCGCTTTTTACTGGCTTCTTGCCGTGTCCGCTGCGCACTAATGCACAGATCGCATATATCGCGGCGATGGACGTTTTTGGGCATCAGCCGACCAGCCGATCATTCCCGACGACCCCTCATGTATACACATGCATTTTTCAGGCTCGCTCTGTCCATTGGACATGGAACTCGGTGAATACCTGCAGAGTGTAACCTTGGTGTAAGACGCCTGCGGCTCATGCCCTGCCATTCTTCACCGGGGCTATAAAAGGCCAAGAGCCCGCCCTCCATCTTGCGTATCAATCGATACACACTTTCAAACGCAATAAGGAAGATGCAAATCATCAAGTCAATCATCGCTGTCACCACTTTGGCGGCCCCGGTCGTCATGGCAGTCAATATTGGCGACGGCTGCAACCGCAAGATTGAAAAGGACTACACGACGTGCGACAACGCCAGAAACAACATCATATACTGCGATCCGGGCTCTTCGCGGTGGACCTACGCATACCGCTGCACCAACGGCTGCTGCCGCAACAATCCGCCAAGCTCCGGTGGCGGCTCCTACGCTTCTTGCCGCTGCTGAACAGCTGCTGAAGCCGCCTGCAGGCGAGTAAAAGTGCGCACCTTGGTAGACACATATTGCTAATAAATGGTAACAAAGATAGATAGTGATTGATCAATTCGCCCCTGTTTATTTGAACGCCTCTTTACGCGGTCGGCGTACGTACAGACAAGGGTCGTGGTCTATCTCTAAGCATAAGCGTGTTCTACATTCATTTTCCTTGGTCACGGGTCGCTCCCAACCAACCATAGCTTTCTTGATTCGGCAATTGACCATGAAAAAGACTTGTCAATCCTCATTTGCTTGTAGGGTTCTTTAGAATTCTTCACCTAAATTTACTGCATAATTTCCTATTGTACTCAGTCAAGCGGCAGGCGACTCATGTCAATCAACAGCTCCTCAACCTGATCTTCCGTCTCTTGCAGCTGATCTAAAACGCCCTGCGCTTCCGGATGGTTACTGTTCCGCCACACGCTGCGCAGCTGCTCAATTCGCCGCAACATCCACCGGTCCGTGTCCTCCAGATTGTGAATCACCACGTTGAGCACGTACTCTTGGTACATTTCAGCCGGATGAATAGTCACGCCATCGACGGCTTGCACGCGCTCCGCGTAGCGGCGGTACGCATCCACCACGTCTTGGATGATGTGCGCCCAGTTGTCATTGACGACTGCGTCGTTGAGGTACACGACGACTTGCATCGTCGCGCGAATGTAGCTAATGGCGGCGTTGCTTCGCTGCGGATCCTCAAGATTGAACCCATTTTCGTTCCAGAGAGAGTCGCTCATCGGCTGGTTGCCCACCCACATGCGCGCCTTGATGCCGTTGAGGACGGCTTCGGTGTTGACGAGCACGCCAGGGTTGGTATCCGAACCATAGGCGTTGGTGATTTCGTCAATCGGCCGGCCGCGGTTCCCGTACGGACCATTGGGGTCCCATGTCGAGTAGTCCTCATGCAGATGGCTGTTGTCGTCCAGGAATCGCTCAGGGATCGCAGGGTACGCGCTTCTCTCGAGCGAGCCGTCGCCGCGCCTCGTCTGCGCATTCATCATGAATTCTTGAGCGCGCGGTTCCGTCTGCCGCTCATTAATATGCTCCGTCACCACCCGTATATCGGGGTTCGTGCTGCTCGACGTGACCGCAATGTTGCTGCAGTCGTAGCAATCCTCGGCGTCGTAGCGCCCGGCCTGCGGGTTCAGCTGGTTCAGCGAGTCGCCATCGCGGCCTTGCGGATACCGGCCCATGCGGACGTTCCATCGGCGGCCGCTCGGCCCGGTGACAGCGTAATTTTCCGCGGAGCCATACTGGATGGGCGCACGGCCTTCCAGGAGCTCGGTGATGAGGCCCTCGTCGTATGGCTTTCCCGTGTCTGGGTTAAGCGCCAGCAAAGGATCGGCGAACAGCAGATCATTCATGCGCATTCGGCGTCGTCTACGCAGGTTGACATTTTCGTACGGCGCACCGGTATCGGGATCAAGATCCAAACTGCGGTCGTAGCGATCAAGATAGTTCCAGCAGACACACGTATCAAGATGTGAGCCGCCGCCGCCGTTGCCGGTACCATCGCTGCAAGACATAATGTCGTGCCCTCCAAAGATTGGGTATCCCTCAACGTCGGGAGCACTGCGTGCTGGCGGCGTGCTGGTTCCAGAGTGAAGAACAAGGGCATCGCCGCGGCCGACAACCCGCTGCGAGTCATCATCACCCCAGGGGAGGTCGCCGGTCGTGAAGGATTCAACCGTCGCCTGGTCGTTGCTGAAAGCAACAATGGCGTCACCGTTGGATTCTCTGCTGATGCGGAACAAACTCTCAATGGTCTGGTTGAATTGGGTATCGGTGGCTACGCTCTTCTGCCCGTAAAAGTCTAAATCGAGCTTCATCTGTGAGATTGTGCGCAGACGCAGCGCCAGGATGGTGCTACCAGTGCCGGGGCTGGCAGCGCGCGCCTTTTTGATGCTGTGAGGCTGCAACTTGGTGGGAAGCGAGAGATCACCAGACCAGGCGTTGCTGACAAGCTTGTTGAAGACGCCACCGTCATGAGGACCAGTTCCTGTCGGTAGGCTGTCGGTGACGGCGTTGCTGTTGGCAATAGAAAAGGCAGCAGTAAACTTGGCGTCAATGTTGCCCTTGCCGGTCATGGCCACTTCAACGTTGACTGTAGGACCAAAATCGCAAATGCCAGGGTGCGAAAAGCCCCAGGCGCTGACGGGGCTGTGGAAGAGCTTTTGGGATTCGAGGCCGGCGGGAATGTCCAGCGAGCCCTTGCCGTCAAAGGTGAGTTGGGCGTTGAACGAGATGCTGGTGTCGTAGTAACCATTGGCCTCTTCTATATGGAACGTGGGTGCGATCGTGCCGACAAAGGTGAAGCCGAATTCAAGATCCTCGTACATCTTTCCTGCAATGTCCATGTTGAGAAAACCGTCATCACCCTTGGCAGTGCACTTTTCCTTTTGCTCGCCGCTGAGAGTAACCTTGATGTTATCTTTGCTAAGCTGGCCGTTGCTGTTGAGGCTAGATGGCTGTTGGAGATTGCGTAAGCTGTCAAACTTGTCCTTCCAGTCCGATGACGCGGAACTGTAAAAGCGCTTGTGCAAATCAGGGGCCATCCCTCTCTTATGCTTGATAGGGTCGCCTTGGACAATCTTGCTCCAGTACTGGTTGGAGTTGGAGTAGTCAATGCGAACAAAAATGTCACCCGCGTCGCGCTTGACCTTGCTAAAGTCGTGCGAGACCTCCAACTCGACAATGGTGCGGTTGGCCGGGACGGAGCGAGCAACATTGCCAGGAAGCGTGGAGATTTGAGAGACGTCGCGCGCAGAGTGCAAGACGGCATAGTGACCAGGGCCACAGCCAGCCGGGAGACGGATAATGGTGCCTTGGGCGCCGTCAAGATGGATCTTGTTGCAGCTCGAGTCGGGGCCACCATCCTCGCAGACAAGACGAATGCGACTTAGACCCTCCTGCTTGATCTTGGGGCAGTCGAGCACGTACGCATCAGATCCATCGCTTCGGCGGAGTGTATGTACTGTCGACGCGGGTCCAACAATGATTACCATGCCAAAGACATTGTGATCAAGGTCAATTGTGACCGGGTTGGTGGCTCCCAGTGCCTGCAGGTCAAACTGGGGATAGTCCGTCTCGGGGGGCATCGTAGGAAAGACCTTGTCAAGAGAAACGGGGAGAAAAGGATTGAGATTCTTGGGGGTGTTGCAGCAAAGAACTTTCTTGCGGTTGAGACCACATCGATTTTGGTTATCGCCAAAAGGATCAAGAGCCAGCTGGACATCGTTGTCGGCGCATTCGTTGTCATCACAGCTACCTTTACCAACCCAATGACAGTTTTCAAAGGCAGCGTCGGGAGGGCAACATATCTCTTTGTATCCAAAAATGCAGTCATCGCTAATTGAGGCAACCTTCTTCATGCCCTTGGTGTCATCGGTGTCGCCGCAGGAGCCGCGGCATTTTGAGTATTTACAAGCGGCAATCTGGTGAGCCCATGTCTGGGCAGTGCAGCAAAACGCTTGCCAGCCAGGTCGAAGACAGTTCTTGGTGGCATGTCGAGAATGGAAGAGAGTTGTCTCGCCCACATGGCACTGACCGTGACACGAGGGGCGGCCAGAAGTCCCCTCACCTCCACGCCATAAACAGCTTTCCGGCATGGAGTTGAGAGGGCAGCAGATGATACGGAACTTGCTGCTACCACAGTCGTCCTCAAATCCCTCGCCTCCGGGAGCCATGCCGTAGCCATCAGGGCACTGAGCGGGGACACCACAGTCCGACATGACGCATTTCTGGCCGTTGAGTGACGTCCACTTGCCAGCGTCGGTGGTCTCAGCGCGCTTGAGGAGCACAGAGTAGCTCTGCAAGCTCATTCCTAGTAGACCCTGCATAGCAGAGAATTCTTTGTCATCCTGATCGACGGACCATATCATGAGGCCGCCGAGGCCAACGCTATTGGCATAGTCGACCTTCTGCGTGAACGTGTCAGCGTCGTCAAAGCTGACCCATTGGTCTCGACCATAGACAAAGTATTTTGAGGCGGCCGCCTTATCATGGATGACTTTGGGGTTCTGATCTTTGATGATGTCCTGGATTTCAAAGTAGGCAAGCGTGCCGCCGTTTTTCGTGCACGAACCGGGCTCAGCCGCGCCGGCAAACTCGCAACCAGGCGTGGAGCAGCTCTTATCCTGTAGCTGGAAAGAGCGCCCATAGAAGCCGAGACCAAGAACGACCTGCTCGGGGGCGACGTTATTTCGCCAGAGGAGCTCCATAGACAGCTTGATCTCGGTGAGGTTGGTGTGGCTCTGGACGATGCTGCCGATGGGGTTTTCCTTGTCCCAGACGCCGTGCAAGTCGTACGACATGATATTGGTCCAGTCTGCGTATTTCAGCATGCCGGGAACATCAAACCATCGCAGGTACCAGTAAGAGCTGGGAATAGTAAAGGTGAGTCCATAGGGACCGTGAATAGAGGCGTCAAACGTCTCTTTGAGCGTCTTGAGCAAGGCGACAAAGTTAGACGTGTCGTGCTCTTCGCCACCACGATCAGGCGCGCCAGGGTACCTGCTATAGTTAGTGTTTTGGTCTTGGAACGAGAAAGTGGCCAACTTACTCCCAGTCAATGTCAACACCATCGAAGCCGTACTTCTTCATAAAGTCGACTAGGTTGTTGGCAAACTTCTTACGGTTGGACTCGGTTGACGCGATCTCGCTAAAGAGAGGCTGTGTGTCGGTGCCATTGTCACTAAACGTCCAGCCGCCAAGGGAAATGTAGACTTTGAGATCGGAGAGACCAGATTTGAGCGAGCGAACGTCGGCCGTCTGTGTAAAGAGCGACGCTGGCGTGGCACCATCCATGGGGGTAACTTCATAGCTGCTGGGAGCGATGTAACCGAAAGCAAAGTTGAGATGGGTGAGACCTTCGATGGGAATAGCAGCGGGAGGGAAAGGGTAACACTCTCTACGAGCACTCCAGGCCTCGTAGTAGCCAATGACGCGGTGCGTGACTGGCTTGGCGCTTTTGCCCGGAGGCACAGCAGGCGTGCCGCAGTTGCTTTGACAGCCTTCCGAGGTGTCGCAGAACAGGGACGTGGTGCCGCAGAATCCAAACTTGCTGCAACATACGTTGAGAGGACAGGTCTTGCCCGCAGGAACAGCGTATTGGCCACATTCAGGCTTCGCATCGCACTGGCTGGCGCAATCAGAGCCGCAAAAGGTCGGGCCAAAGCCGCAGGTTCCTACACCGTCGGCTCCGAAAGAGCCACAGCAGGCTTTGGTGTGGCAGGGGATATCCTTGGTGCACTTGTACGGGTCAATACGCCTGACGAGAGTGTTGTTGTGCTCCGAGTACTCGTCGTACAGCAGCGCAGAGACGGGTTCAGCAGACTCGTTCTGACGCCGCACAGGAGTGATTTTGGACGAGGCTGGGCTGCGGCCAAAGGAGGGAAGCGCAAGGAAAAAGGCGAGGGTAATGGAAAATATAAGGAGCGTGATGGCCAGCTTGGACGTCTTGGACGTCTTGGACGCCAAGCGACCGTTGGGAGGCGCCATTGTTTGGTGGGATGAAGGAGGAAGGGCTCAAGCAGGCACGCATACCTTGGCTTGGGTTTGACAAAACTGACAAGAGGGGGATGTTATACATCTCAGCGCGCAGGGTAGAGCCGACAAGGTGGGCTAGATGCCGGCGCCCTGGCTTGTTCATGCCATGCCATGCCGGGCATGTCTCCGTGGTGCATGTTTCTGATGGTTCCTGTGATGCCAAGGACTCAGCGGCGATGATGCACGGGCCCCACGCCTTTCTACGCCCTTGAGCCCCCAACGCCCGATTGGCGGCCCGTTTACAGTGGGGTTAAGTAACCCTAGCTGTGGTGTGTGTGGGCCCACACCACCACTAGATAGGCAGCTAGAGTAGGGCATAGCCTAGGAATATTATCTTCATTCTAATATATATACTAATAAATTAGTAGTAATTATATTAAAAAATTAGTATAACTAGAAGTTCTATTAAAAATTATTAAACTATTATATTATTATAACCTAGTTATATTAAAAAATAAATTATTATAACCTAGTTATATTAAACTATTAAATTATTAAAACCTTTATTATTATAACCCTTATTAACTAGGAAGTATAGTTAGTTATATAGACTAGTTAAGATATATACTATAAGATATATATATCTTAATATATATTACCTACTATTACCTAGAAGTAGAACCTATATTCTTTAAACTAAATAAAGCTAAGCTAATATATTTAATTAATATAACTACTTATTAAAGATATATAGTAGACTAGACTAAACTATTACTAATAATCTTAAAAGTAAAGGTAATAAGACTCTTATAATTATAAAAAGTCTAAGTTATTATATATTATCTTAAAAATAGAATAACTACTAAGCTAGCTAAATAGTTAATATATAAGCCTACCTTATAAGATAACTAAAGGCTAGTAGTAGAAACTATACTATATTATTAAAGAGGATAAATAACTAACCTACTATAAAGTTAGAGTTAAATATCTTTACTATAATTTAAAGACTATTTAGGCTAAGGCTATACCTTTTTAATAGATATTAGTAAATAAGGTAGTAGTAGTATTTAGCTATACCTTATAGTAAACCTAGATATACTTACTAGGATTATCTTCTAGGTAGTAGCTAAGACTTTAGTAGCTATACCTAGGGATATAATTAATTAAGATACCTTTATAGTATATAGCTATAGGTTAATAATAAAAGGCTTATAAAAAGTAGATATTAACTTCTTTAAGCCTAAATTATAATATCTAGACTAGGATAGTATAAAAACTATTATAATAGGTAATAAAGATATTTTATATATCTATATATATATATTTACTAACTAGCTACTAATATATAACTAATTATATAAAGAATAAACTATTTAAGATATTTAATATACTTACCTATATAGAATAGCCTTTTAATAATATATAAATATACTTATAATAGATAATAGATAATATATACTTTATATATTAATATTAAATATTTATATAGCCTTTATTAATTACTTTAAACTACTACTTTTTAAAGTAAATAGATACTTAAAATAGGCTATCTACTTACTAGATAATACCTAAATAGGAAAAAATATAGATATATATATTCTATAAGTATTATAAGATACTTAAGTAGTTAATTAAGACCTTTAGAACTAGCTTTAGTAAGTATTTAACTTACTAGACTTTAAAATTAAGGCTATCTTAAACCTACTATTAAAAAGGACTACTATCTAAGGCTTCCTTAGAAATATCTATAATTACTAGAATATTATCTATAATCTAGCTATAAATAATAGTAATAATAATCTTATTAATAAAGACTAGGCTTAGTATAGTAGCTATAGTAATAGTAGCCTTTAATAGCTATAAACCTAACTATAAGTCTTTATAGGCTATAATTAAGGTAGTTAGGACTAGAAAGGATATAGGCTATAGATAGGAGGAAACTAAGGTAGTTATAGCTATTAGAATAGCTTTTAGTAAAGGAATAGATATAGTAGTAAATAATAATAATACTAACTATTCTAATAGGAAGTTTAGCTACCTACCTTAGGTAATAAGTAGAAGCCACCTTATAGTAATAATAATAACTAAGCCCTAGCTAATACTAGCTAAGGCTAAGGTTTTAACCTAGGCTATAATAGACTATACTAACCCTAGGATAACTAACCTTAGTTTAATTAAATACTATATTATACCCCCTAGGTAGCTTATTATATAGACTATTACTAGGATATAAATAAGAAGGGATATAAGAGTTATTAGGATACCTAGGATATAGGGTAAGATATATAGTAAGTATAGTAAGAGGACCCTTTTAGATATAGTAGTGGAAGTTACTAATAACTACTACTAGATTATAGTAACTAGACTATAGATCTTACTATAGCTATAGGCTAGGATATAGTAGAAGAGAAGGAACTACTAGTTATAAGTAACTATAGATACTAAAGCTATTAGATAAGCAACTATAGACACTAAAGCTACTAGACTAAGGAGCTACCTATTCTTTATATCTATAAGGAGTATAGCTAGGAATTTAAATTAAATAATAAGCTTTATAGCTATATATATATAGCTTATAATACTAGCTCTAGCTCTACCCCTAGCCTAGCTAATAATACTACTATTACTTATTACTATATATTCCCTTATAATACTAAAGAGATAGTAGTAAGTATTAGGATAGGATAGGATACTAAAGAGATAGTAGTAAGTATAGGACTTATAGGCCTAAGGGTAGATATAGATCTATCTATTATTAAAGCTACTAGCACCTTAGTATAGGAAATACTATTAGGATAAGTATAAATATACCTATACCTATAGCTATACTTTAACCTAAAGATCCTAAGTAAGTAGTTAAATATATATATAAATATAGGAGCCTTATTAACCCTTATAGATAAGAACTAGCTAGCTTAATACTATCTAGAAGTAACCCTAGCTAGCTACCTATACCTAGTATATATATATAGTATTAAACCTAAAAGGGCCTAAGCTAAGTACTATACCTATATCCTACTATACTTTATTAGTATAATACTAGATAGCTAGGTAGTTATAATACTTTACTTAGCCTAAGTATTTATAGTATTAGACCTAAAACTAAATATACTAATTAATATAGATATACTAGGCTCCCTTAGGAGTAATATCCTACTTAGCTAAGGTACTATAGTACTTTATATATACTAAGGTATATTAATCTTAATAATACTATAAATATAAGTATAATTATAAGTAAAGAGTTACTTAGTTATAATAGCCTAGACTATATAAGCTACCTTAAGTAAAATAGTACTTATAGCTATAATATATAAGGCTAAACTAGATATTAGATATATATATAAACTATAAATACTATAGTAAGCTATAACCTTTATAGTATTAGCTAAAGCTAATACTATATAAGTACTACTATAGAATAACTTAGGATACTACCTATAGCTATACTAAGGTACTAGACTTAGCTACCTATAGACCCTACCTTAGGATATAGAAGTATATTAAGTAGAATATATAGACACTCCTATAGTACTAAAGCTAGCTAGCGTTTATAATAAAGAACTACCCTACTTCTAAATATAACTAAATAACCTATTTAATAGGTTAATAGAATACCTAATAGGAGTATATATCTAGAGTAGTATAGACTAATAGATATTAGTTATATAGAAGCTAATAGATAGATATATAGCCCTTTTTATAAATAAGGGCTTTATTAAGGTCTTTAAGGATAAGCTTATATATATTAGGCTAAAGTTAAGATAAGAAGAAGCTATAATATAAAAATATAAGATTTATTTATAGGGGCTAGAGGAAAGAAGTATTATTAAGTAGACTACTAGTAAGCTTTTAAATATAGGAAAGATCTAGTAAATATAAATATAAGTCCCCTTTACCTTCTTAGTCTTTATAATCTAGTAAGGATAAGAAGATAAATAGAAGGGTTATATAGTTATAAATATTAAGACCCTTAATAAGTATACTCTTAATAATACCTACCTAATATACTATTAGGATAATATTATAGTAGAATTAATATATATAAAGTATATTATAGTAATTAATACTATATCCTTTTATTATTAGTAGCTATTATACCCTAACTTAACCTAGGCCTTCTTAATTATAACTTATATAGAATAGTTTACTTTCTAAGTGCTTATTATAGGTTATAAGAACTATAATACCTATATCTAATAATATATAGATAATATACTTAAGGATACTAAGGGTATCTTATATAGTAATAATATCTTTACTAGGTTACCTACTTTTAAAGACTATATAAAGGACCTATAGGTAGTATTTAAAAGCCTATTAAGCTATAATATCTTAATTAAACTAAAAAAAAGCTTTATAGCCTTTATATTAGTTATAGTTCTAAGCTACCTAATAGACACTATAGGCCTAAGTATAATAGAAGATAAGCTATTTATAGTTAAGAAGCTTAAATTCCTTAAGACTTTAAAGGAATTTAAGTCTCTACTTAGCTTTATAAGCTTATTAAGATATAATATACTATATTATACTATAATTATAGAACTACTATAAAAGCGGAAGATAGTACTCTAAAGAGTATTAAAGGCTAAGAAATAAGCTAGATAAGCTATCTAGGCTATAAAGAACTAATTAGTAAAAAATATAGCTAATTCTTTTTTAACTAAAGATATAAATATATAATAAAAGTATAAAAAGGACTATAAACTAAGGTATAAGGTATAGGCTAGCTATATAGCACTAGCTATACTATCCTAGGCTAAATTAGATAGCTTTAAAAGCCTTATCTAGGCCCTTATTAACTATAATAACCTTATATACTTTATAGTCTATTAAAAACTATTCTTTAATATAGATATATCTATCTTAAGTATAGATATAATAGTCTATTATATAATAAAGGTAGCCCTTATAAAAATTACTAACTAAGGGTAGGTTATATAATACCCTCTATATATAGCTATTAAGCCTATTACCTTCCTATTAAAAACCCTTTTAAATACTAAAAAAAA